TCCCGGGGGATTCAGGTGTGTTTCAGACCATTTCCATCATGTTTTGGACTGCTAACTCTCAGTTCTGGTTTCCTTTATCGTGATTGCGACTATGGAGTCCTGTTTGCGGAGGGCTTTTTAGGAGGCAGGAGCATTTGTTTTCACGTTCGCGAAGAAAGGACCTCGTTTGCAGAGCTTTGGGGAGCCAGTGCTTCGCGATCGCAAGCAGGGCTTCGCGTTCGCGTAGAAGGGGAGCTTGGAGGGGTTTGTTAGGCGTAAGCCTTCGCGTTCGGGGGAGCTAGAGCATATTCGCATAGGCATAATTTAGTTGAGCATCACGTTCACGAAGAATGGTCCAACAACTGGGTGAGTTTGGTCTTCGCGATCGCGAAGGTTGTTCGGCGATCGTGATGTGTATACCTGGGCAGATCATTTAAGTACTTTATTTCAAAGGTTTTTGTTATTTTATTATATTTTGAGTTAGAGAGCTCGGATTTGGGCGATTTTGGAAGGGATTTCTACGATTTGAATTGGGGTAAGTATTTTTTACTCGAATTTATTTATATTTCATGATTCCAACCTTGAGTATAGCTATTGTTTGATGAATCAAACTGAAGCAATTGGGGATTTTAGTAAAAACTTTTCTATAACATAAATTGATGATTGAAGGCTGATTTAAGGTCGGAACTGGATGAAATCGATCTAGTTGGACTCATATCAGAATGGGTGTTAGGTATTTGTTAGTTTTGTCGGGTTCCGGGGTGCGGGCTCTGGGTTGACTTTTTGATTTTAGTTAAATATCGTTGTTTTATTATTCGGAAGCGTTTTCTATGGTTTTTAGTTATGATAGTAAGTTATTTTGGCTAGATTCGAGCTGTCCGGAGGTTGTTTCATGCGGGAAGAGCTTCTTAGAGTATTAATTTAGCTTCTTTGAGGTAAGTATCTTGCCTAACCTTGTGCGGGGAAACTTACCCGTATGCATTATTTATACTATGTGAACGACGTGTATATAAGTGACGAGTGTATACACGGGTGTGCTATACATGACTATGATCAATTCAAGTATATCAAGGGTTGCAAGATTAGCCTATCATGCTCATTAAAGATGTCTTACTTCCAAACCAATCCGAAACTCACAACGAGCCCCTCGGGACCTCGTCCGATCATATCAACAAGTCCAAATACATTATTCAAACCTTCACAAAGGCTCGAAACACTATAAAATTACATCAAAACCTAGAATAGAGGATCCAACATGCTCTTTACTTTCGAACCTTCAAACTTCGCCGAACGCGTCCGAATTACACTTAGACATTCCCGATCATAGCCAAACTTTTTCCAATCAGCCAAATGAATCCAACCAAGGTATCAAAATACTAATTGTAACCCGATAACATCAAACTCAACTTCCGGTCAAACCTATGAACTCGCCAAACCTTCGAATTGTCAACTTTTAACAAATAGATCCAAAACCTTCTATTAACCTCCAATCCAAATTCCGAACATATGCCTAAGTCCAAAATCACCATACGAGTCGATTGGAGTCATGAAATCCCGATTCCAAGGTCATCAACTCAAAAGTCAAACCTTTGTCAACTCTTCAAACTAAAAGCTTCCATAATGAGGATTACTCTTCCAAATCAATCATGGACATCTTGAACCTCAAAAACAATGATATACACAAGTCATAGGTTATCATTTGAAGCTAATCCAAGTCTCAAACCACAGAACAAAATGCTAAAGCTCAAAACGACCGGTCAGGTCGCTACAATTTTAGTAGTATAAATATTATTTTACAAACAACTTACTATATGATTGGGCATACACGTGCAATGCATGTACCGATAAGTTAGTACTATATTAAAAACACGAAAATTCTTAGTGAAATATTGTCCGTCTTTATTACGCTTTAAAAATAAGTTCACATTGGATCAAATTATTATTTTTCTAACTATCACTAAATATTTTCGACAATTATAACTAATACCTAACTAAATAAATTAATTGTCTATCTTTATTGATTCCTACATATCTAACTGTATGAATCCTGATATACATGTCGATTAAAATGAAAGCAATATACATAAAATATTCTAATTTCAAACTGCTAATAATAAAAGTTTGTATACCTTAATTTTAAGTTGTAACTTAAATAAATACTACTAATAGATAAGATCATAAATAAATGAATATAATTCATCACACGTGTGTTAATTTTATGTTTGGTATTTATTATTTTTTTTAAATAATTTTTAAGAGCTTAAAATGCACTTAATATTTATTTTATGACTGTTACATTAAATGTTATTTTTGTTTTTACAAATGAATTATTCACATTAATATAAAGCATACCCGCAATGAGGGTATCGCGAGACTAGCAGTTATTATTATTATTATTATTGTTATTATTATTATTATTATTATTATTATATTAAAAATACGAAAGCCTTTAGCGGAATATTGTTTGCCTTTTTTACCCTTTAAAAATAAATATTATATTGGATAAAACTGTAGTTTAAAATATTTTCCTACTATTAAGGATTTTGAATGAATCAACTAAAATTTTGGTATAAAATCTTTTCTAACGTAAAAAATCCTGTTATTAAAATTAAATTTTTATTTTGTATAATTCTAACCATAATTCATTCTATGTTACTTTTGCCTAATCCTAATATTTATGAGTTTTCCACGTTTTTTCCTTATTTGTTTTTCGTTAAAAAATGAACCTAAATACCATATATACTAATATAATTGTAATATTACTTAAATTGAAACTCGAATATTTTGAATGAAACATAATTGAATTTATGTTAAGACAATATTGAAACTTTTACTTTAAAATAATATAATAAAAAACAAAAATATTTTATTTATCTTGAATTGTTAAGAAACATAGAAATAAATTGTGCATAAATAGTGTTCATACTAGACAAAATACTTTTAATTGTTTTTTTAATATTTAAGTATTTTAAAATCAGCTAAAATTTTAGTTAGGAAATTTTTATTTGTTTTAAGATGTAAGATGTCCTAATATTTAGGACCTTATATAAATTATTTCCTAATATGAATAGACAATTGATCTTTCTTTGTGTACAACGTCATCTAACAGCTTGTTTGGATGGTCATTATGTATTGTATTGTATCGTATTGTTACTTTAAATATAATATTTGTTTTGGTTGTTAGTTAAATTTTATTGTATCGTGTCGTTAATTCCGCCGTTGCGTAAGGACAACATGTGCCACTTTATGTAACGACCGATTTGGCGTGGTTGCATGGTTATCTTGTCTTTTTTCTCATCTCACCCTTCACTCTTAGTATTAAATAATTTTATTTTATCATTTACCCTACCTTTTTATATAATAAATTTACCCTGTATCATAATTTTTCTTTATAATATTGCAAATTTATTCTTCATATTGCTCGCATTGACAAATACAATGTTTGGATAGATTGTATCGTTTGTTATTGTTTCATGATATCATTACGATACGATCCACTACGAAACGATGTGTAACAACCATCCAAACACCCATACATTTGGATGGTTGTTACCTATCGTATCGTATTGTTACTTTAAATACAATGTTTGTTTTGATTGTTACTTAAATTTTATTGTATCGTATCGTTAAATCTGTCGTTACGTAATGATGAAATGTGCCACTTTATGTAACGACCGATTTGGTGTGGTCGCCTTGTTTCCTTGTGTTTTTCTCTCAATGTCACCCTTCATTATTATTAAATAATTTTATTTTATCATTTACCCTACCTTTTTATATACCGTATCATAATTTCTTTTATAATATTGCAAGTTTATTCATCATATCACAGGTGTGTGATACCATGAAACGACGCCAATACAATACGATACGATACATTATGAAACGATACGTAACAACCATCCAAACAAACTGTAATATTACGAATAATTTTAAACTTTTATGCCAATTATCAAAAGAATCCATTTTCTTTATTTTGTACCAATTATCAAAGAATCCATTTTCGGTTTTCAAATTAATCATAATTATTTTTCAAGTCGACGAAACTCTTAGGATACGTAAAATTATTTTCATAAGAAGAGCATAGACGATGAGAAATATTCAAAAATAGACCAAAATAAATTATGATATAGTATTGAAAATCAAATTGGTTAAAATGCAAACTCGAAGTAATAAAGATGAAATAGTTGATAAGAAAATTTATGACAAGATAGTTGTATTTAATATTTTTCATTAATTTCAATGGACAACAACTTTCTATATTTTTTACATATTAAATTTATTTGTTATAAAATATTAATTCAATATTAGTTATTTTTAGACTTTTGTGTTGTCAGTTATTAATTTCTTTCTAGGAGCAATACATACAATCATTTTATTTTCAAATCTCCAAAAGATCAATGATTCAATTTTTTATTTATTTTCTATGTTACTTGTTTATTTTCATCATAAAGTCATGCAACTAACAACAAATTATATACTCCTTCAATTTCAATTTATGTGAACCTATTTTCTTTTTAGTCCGTGTCAAAAAGAATGACCCTTTTCCTTATTTGAAAATAATTTACCTTTATGCAATGATTATAGCCATACAAAATATATGTATGTCATTTTACACCACGAGTTTAAAAATCTTTTTTTATTAAATTCCATGCCATGGTGCACATAAATTGAAAAAGAGGGAGTAACATATTCCCACAAAATAACTCAGAAATCACAATAAGGTATTTGAAGATTTTTTGACGCATGATTCCTCTTTATTGAGCTAACTAAATGAGATCAACATTAATCACTTTCATGAATTTATATTTTTAATTTAATTTAATTTTATAAGTTAAATGTATTATTTATTATATTTATATAATTTTTAAATTAATAATATATATTAGTATAAGATACACCCACAAAATGCGTACCTCGAAAGTATTTGATAAAAGCAAGCAAGCAAAATATCGTGTCAAGTGTCAACATAGCAATCTATTGAGAAAAATATCAGGATGCAAAACCCTAATTATAACTTATGAAATTGTCGCCGTAACACAAGTAGGGCTACTTTTGCACTATAAAAACAAGGCTAAAGAAAATATCTCCTTCCCATTCTCTCTTTCGTTAAACCCTAAACTTCCCCTTAGGGTTTTGCAGTCTCCTCTTGCTGCTTTCCCCTTATTAAACCCTTTCCGTTCCTTTTTTGCACAATCAAAGGCTCGAAATGGGTAAATCTGCTAAGAAGTCCGCCACCAAGGTGACCTTTGCTTGCGATTTTTTAGCCTTTTTGTATTTATCTGTATAATTTTTGTTGATTTTTTTGGCGTTTCTTTTTTCATAGGTTGATGCTGCTGTAGTTGCTCCCACCAAACCCTTGAAGAAAGGTTTGATCTTTTTGCTTTTTTTTTTGTTTGTGGATTTTAAGGTCTGAATGTTTTTGGCTCTTTTTGTTTGTGGGTTTTGAGGTTTGACCTTGTCGGCTCTTGTTCTTTGTGGATTTAAGGTTTTATTGAGGCTGTTTTTGGACACAACTTGGTTAATATTTGAAAAAAGTAAAATTTGATGTTAAATTCAAAAAGGTTATTTTGACAGTTGTGTTTGGACATGGAAACAAGTTGAAGTTTTGATAGCGAACATTTCTGAATAAACTTGAAAAACACCTAAAAACCTGTTTTTTCTGACCTCAAATTCTGTATTTCAAGTTTGATGTTGAAATATAATTGGCCAGTTTGATAAACAAACACTTATCCGTGCTGTGTGAGCATAAGAATGTTTTTCTGTTTTTGGCTGGTTCTTGGTAGAGGAGGAAGTATTTGGTTGGTGGCTTGACTAATTTGTGTATGTGTTTACAGGGAAGAGAGAAGCTGAGGCTGAAATTGAGAAGATAGTGAGTGCAAAGAAGCAGAAGAAAGACGTGGCTGTAGCACAAGCTGTTGAGAAAAAAAAGAGTGATACAAAGACTCAAAAGAAAAAGAAACAAGAAAGCAGCTCCTCTGACGATAGTTCTGAGTCAGAAGACGAGAAGGTAATACACGCACATGATTGATTTTTTACCTGTAATTGTAGAGTCTGTCTAAATGGCAAGTGGATTTTATGTAGTGGTAGTTCGTGAGTAGGGTCTTTTGTTGGCTTGCAGTGTCTAGCAGAATTTTGATTTGCATAATATATCTGTTGATGCCATCTACATATGCAATAATGACTGATTCCATTTTCTTATTTTGTTATGCAGCCTACTAAAGCAGTGGCGCCTCCTAAGAAAGTGGCTCCTGCCAAAAATGGAAAATTAGCCAGCAGTTCAGATGATTCAGATTCTTCAGACGAGGATGAAGTAAATTACCCTCTTAGCAGTAATTTTCAATAATATTTTGGCTAATGTATCAACTCTTCTTCTGTTGGTGTTGTTGTGTATAGGCTCCTCCTCCTAAGAAAGTTGTTGCAGCTTCAGCTAAGAATGGTGTAGCTGCTAAGAAGAAAGATGAGTCAAGTGATGATTCTAGTTCAGAGGATGATAGCAGCTCTGAGGAAGATGTACCTGCAGCCAAGAAACCTGCTGCTAATGGCTCTGCTGCAGTTTCTAAGAAAGATGAGTCAAGTGATGAGTCTAGTTCTGAGGATGATAGCAGCTCTGAGGATGATGCTGTTGCTAAGAAGGCTGCACCTAAAAAGGGTCTTGCTGCTGCTGCCTCCAAGAAGGAAGAATCCAGTGATGACTCCAGTTCAGATGATGATGTAAGGGCATTGTTAAGTTGCTTATGCAAATATTGCTTTGTTGTTTTAATAGTGTTACTCCTTGTTGATATAACTGATTTTCTTTTTGACAGGAACCTGCCTCTAAGGTAGCTGCTGCTCAACCAGCAAAAGCTCCTCAAGCTGCAAAGAAGACTGGTGACAGCTCAGAGGAAACCGATTCTGATGAAGATGATTCTGATTCTGATGCAGACAAGGTTTGGCCGCTTGATATTTTGTTTTTTGTTTTTGTTATTTTTGTCCTCTAGCCATTTCATTGAATCCATCATCACATAAGTGAGTATCTTGCTTGCTTATTGATTATGTTATATGTGTTTGCTTGCTTTTGCATGGTTGTCTGATATTATTTTCTTTCTTTAGGGAAAGACTGCTGCTGTATCTAAAAAGAAGGTTGAGTCTAGCAGCGACAGCTCTGATGAAGAATCTGAAGAAAGTGATGAAGAAGAGTCTCAAAAGAAGAAGATCAAGGTCTTGATATTTTTTATTTGTAATATTCCAACTTATTTCATCTTAGTTCATCGTCTAACAATTGTGTTTCACAGCCCTCTAGCGCTCCAGCTGTCTCCAAGAAGGAGAGTAGTTCTGAGGAATCTTCTGAGGAAGACGAGTCTGAAGAAGAAGAGGATGAGAAACCATCCAAAACTCCCAAGAAGGTAAAATATGTTATTATCTTTAGTTGATCGGCATATTCCTTTTGTTATAAGTAGATGAATTACATCTTTTCCTGCAGCTTTCAAATTAGTCACAACATGGTTCTTCCCATTGGATTAGCTGTATTATTTCCCCCCTTTGTTGTACTGCTGTTTACCCTAACTTGGCAGTTATGATCATGTTATTGTAGTTTTTAATTTATAATTAATCAAATTGTTCATGCCACAACTTTGAGAGGATTTTCTTGCTAAAGCAGGATGCTGATGTGGAAATGGTCGATGCTGATTCCTCTAAAGCTGTAAGTGAAGCTTTAGAAAATTACGTCTTGATTGTAAGCATTAGAAAATGATATTTGCCTTTTGTACAATACTTGAACTGCTGCTCTGTTCAAAATGCAGCAAAAGACCCCTATTACCCCTAAAGCTCAGACTCCAGGGTCAAAAACATTGTTTGTTGGAAATCTATCCTATTCTGTTGAACAGGCCGATGTGTAAGTTACTATTGAACTTTTTCCGGTGCTTTGTTTGTGTGATAATACCTCGACTTATAATAAGGCATTTGCGCATTTGCAGGGAGAATTTCTTCAAAGATGCTGGGGAAGTTCAGGAAGTGCGCTTTTCTACACATGAAGATGGTTCTTTTAAGGGCTATGGTCATGTTGAATTTGTAACTGCTGAAGCTGCACAGAAGGTAGCATTTTTTTTTTTAATTTTTAGCTTGTCAAAAAGAAAAAAAGAGAAATTTAAAGGTTGCTTCTTTTCAATCCTTAAACATGAATCTTTTCTACAGTTACAATAGATGCATGCAATATAAATCCTACTTCAAACATGTTGTAGAGCAATATCTTTCATATATAAGGTAGTCAATTAAGGTAGTCATGCAGCCCAGAGGCATTAATTGCAGCAATTTCCTAGTTTCTTCTGAGCTCTGCACACAGTATGTTTACTGTATACAAAAGTAGACACTGTCTATTACAAACATTGACCTGGTTTGTTTTCTTTAGTCCCCTGGATGGAATGCTAAAATCTGTTGTATCCATTTTAGGCACTTGAACTAAATGGACAAGACCTCTTGGGCCGTGCTGTGAGATTAGACCTGGCTCGAGAGAGGGGAGAGTATACACCACGAACTGGGTATGCAATCTCTCTCACCTTATTGTTTCCATTTATGTTGAAAGTAGACACATCATTTCAAGTATGTGTTATCTTATGGTTTGTAGGAGAGAAGAAAACTCATTCCAGAGGCAAGGTAGAAGTGAAGGAACAACAATTTTTGTTAGGGGTTTTGACAAAAATGAGGCCGAAGACCAGGTCCTTGTCCTATATATATATATATATATATATATATATATATATATTTATTTTCTCTCCATTATTTTTGACACTTCACTTTAATATCTCAAGATGGTCTAAATATTTCAAATACGATTTCAGATTAGGAGTTCACTTGAGGAGCATTTTGCATCTTGTGGTAAGATCTTTAAAACAAGAATTCCTACAGACCCAGAAGGCTATATTAAAGGGTAAATATTTCTCATTTTCATGTTCTTGTTTTCTCAATTTTGCGTTGTCTGAAATAATTTGTAGGTTAAGAGGTATTTGTTCTGTTTTGTACTGACGACTTTGTAAATTTGGCCTTCTCTTGCAGGATGGCTTATATTGAGTTTGCAAATGGTGATAGTGATGCTTTGAACAAAGCCCTGGAACTCGATGGATCAGAAGTCGGAGGTTATAACTTGACAGTGCAAGAGGCAAAACCAAGGGGTGATAGTTCTGGTGGAGGCAGAGGTTTTGGTGGTAGAAGTGGTGGTAGGGGAGGTGGTAGAGATAGTGGTGGCCGGTTTGGTGGCCGCGGTGGTGGTGGACGCTTTAGTGGTGGTGGTCGTAGTGGTGGCGGTGGCGGCCGTTTTGGTGGTGGTGGCCGTTTTGGTGGTGGAGGCAGAGGACGAGGAACTCCCAACAGGCCAAGCTTCACTCCATCTGGTAATGTCATACTTAATATAAATTTTACTGTCTCAATTAAGTGTTAACAAAATGCCAGACCCCTCCCCCTCACCCTGTAGTAGAACATTTAGGTTCACTACTGCACTAAATCTCGAACTATTGTGGGTTGGCTATAGGAATTCTCTCCATTTAATCTTATTAGACCCTAAAAGAACAGAATAATGGCTCCAATAATCTCTGTTGAGTCAAAATGTGTTTTGTTTTTCAAGTCAATTTCTCTTTTAATTCTCCAGTTTCATTGTTTTCTTGGCTAATTCTTTTTTACATTCTGGTAAATTGCAGGTAAGAAGACAACCTTTAATGATGAGTAACTTCAAGTTCAAGAGTCCGACTTATCAACTTCTCTCTCCTTAATCTCTTAGTTTTGGTTTGGAATATTATAAATTTGTGAGTTAAGCAAGAACTTCGGAATGTAGTAGTTAGTATAAGATTCAGTATAATTTTGTTTCCTCAAGTTATTGTGTCATTTAAACCATTCATTTTGGGTGGAAAGTGAGTTCTTCATATTCAGTGGTTGGTAGCAGACATAAGACCATCTCGATTCAGAATTTTATTTAAGTAGGCAGCAGCGCTAATACGTAATCTAACAACCTCTTATATTCTGCTACCTATATTTGCTTTGAGAAGTTACTTTTTATCAAGTTGACCTTTTTAATACCTTACGCCTTATTGACAAGAGAAATTAAAACAAGAATGATGTGTACGCGGATAATAGTATAGACGGATTAAAAGAAGGAATTTTTATATTCCTATGCCACATAGGAAACCTTACCACCCTTAATGTTTAAGGTTTGATTTAATTATACTTAACAACAAATTACTAATTTTATACCATAATTAATTAAGAGTATAATTAATCTAATTTTATATCATAATTAATTAAGAACATAATTAGTGAGATGTCTTACTCCTTGGTTAAAGGATTTCCGTATATCTCAGTATCTCTACTCATCCCATGTTTTTCTCTCCTAACCCCTCAGCCCAGCTCCTGTTTTATCCATACCCATGTTTTTTTTTACCATTTTCCATCTTCTGAAACCACCCAATCTCTCTCTCTAAATTCACAGAAAATTGAAGAAACCTTTCAACAAACTATTCCCCATTTTACTTCAGTTAAAGTTTACAATGAAGAACAACAAAGCTTCGAAACAAAGTCCTAAAAAATCAGCAGTAGCTGATATACCCTCATTTGATTTGGGGGTGTGATCCCCAAAATTACCCAAAAAGCAAGGCAGATCTCCACATGCAATTGCAAAGACTACTCATAGTTCCTCTCCCCGACAAACCAGAGCCGAGATGAGAACCAAACAAAAACATGATGTAGATGCTGGAGAAACTTCTACACCAGTCAAACTAGTCAAACGAAAAGAAAAAGAGATTTCTGTAGACATAGACTTTGTAGAAGAGGTCCCTAATCTTCGAACAGGAAAGAAATCAAAGGTGTCTCCTGGTTCGAAAAATCTAAAAATGAAGAAACATTCAAAAAAATACCGTAAAATTGTTCGAAACCAATCATTGGCGAAGGTAAACATTTATTAGTTTCGTTTCTAATTTTTTAGTTTGGTTTAGGATGGTAAAATCTGTGTTATACGTGTTTTAGACAAGTGTAGATTAATTGTCTTAATTTTGAAGATTATTTGTAGTTGCGATGTTCTGCCTTTATAGTTTTAGATATTTTGTAGTTTTTTTTGTAGTTATACTGTTAGGTAACTTGTACTATTTGAAGCAGAATTGTAGTTATCTTTTGTTGCTGCCTTTTTGTAGAAAATGCTTTAAATTGTAGATATTATGTAATCATTTGTAGTTATGTTGTAGATAAAATGTAGATGAATTTATCTTTTTTATGCATTGTATTAATGTGAACTAATTTATTATTTGTGCAGAATGGACAGTTTTTTGCCCCACATAATGTTGATTATGGGGTGCTTAGATTCCACACTTTGTGTGATCCTGGCATTCCTAGCCAGATTAAAGAGCTTCTATCCTCAAATGGGCTGAATATTTTCAAAAAGACGTGTTTTGGATACTTACTTTCTCTTCCCACTATATGCATGCAAAACCAAGCCATTCATCTTTTGATGAAGTATGAATTGACCAAATCCAATGCATCATATTTTTCTGTACAGTTAAAGGGTGAAACATTAAATTTTGGATTGCGTGAGTTTGCATTAATTACTGGTCTAAGATGTGTCACCCAGGTTACTGATTTTGGTTATACTCCCACTTATGTTAGCAAAATAATAAGCAGTTATTTTCCTAACAAATTAAGAGTGGAGAAGTCTTATTTGAAACAGATAGTAACCACTAGATCCTGGGTAAACGATGAGGATGCGGTGAAGTTGTGCATCCTTTATCTTTTAGAATTTTTCATTTGTCCTTCGGACAAAGATCATGTTTCTTTTGTAGATCACTTTAGGTTCTATTTTGTATAATCTGGGCAGTATGAGTCATACCCATGGGGTATTAAATCTTTCACCCAGATGATGGAATCTGTTAGGCATAAGACTAAATCCGTATGTACATTCTTATCTCATACGGGGATGCTCACTAGCATTGCAAGTATGGCTTTATGAGTGTTGCTCTACTGTCAGCACTGATCTAGCTACGAGGTGTTCTAACTCAATACCTCGCATACTAAGATGGTCAGCTAGTAAGGGGCAGATTTAGTTAGCTGCCTTTGAAGAGAAGATGATAAAGCCTGAGTGGATAAAGGTAAAGTTTCTTTTTTTATGATTATACAATTACCTTCAAATTATCCATAATTATTCTACATTTTCTGCCTTGATCAAACTAATTTATTTTTTCTCATTCAGTTTACCAACATAGTCGAATTTGGAGAAGAGATTGCAGTGTTGATTTTGCCCGACAAGATTGAGTACAAAGTTCGAGAAGGTGAACAAACATCTGAGTTTCCCAATGCTGATCCTCCTACGTTGGAACCCAAACAAACAGATGGAGAAGAGGACAAGGAGTCTATTGCTGAGAAGATCAGCAAATTAGAAAAAGGAATTGAGCAAGTAATACATATAAACTACAATATATCTACAATTTATCTACAATATATCTACATTTCATAAACTGTCCACCAAATATCTACAAATTTGTAAATTCTGATATATATCTTTATATAATTGCATATGTTTTTGAATTGTATGTTAGGACATATTATGAAGTTAACAACTTACTATATTGTAACTTGTAGGTTGATGGAAAGTTTGAAGATTTTAGGAAAGCTGTCTTTGTAGAACTCGATAGCCTTCGAGTGTTTATAAATGAGTCTGTGCAGACTGTTTTGCAAATGATAAACAGTAGAAATGTGCAAGATGATGCAAAGGTAAGATCTGACTTTTATTTTTATAGCAAAAAAAATTAGACATACGAAAGAATATATACAAACTAACATAAAACATTCAGTTTGTTGGCAGTTCAACAAAAAATAATGACCAACAAAAAGACTTGAACAATCAGCATTTTCAGTTCAATATTGGGGAACAAGTGCAGGCCAGCACCACCAAAACAGGTATCTACAAAATACCTACAAAGTATCTACAATTTGTGTCAGTGAATATACAACATATCTACACTTATCCACAAATTATCTACAATTTTGATACACATATTCTACAACTTTCAAGCCACCATTATCCAGTATTATTTATCATTTTTAATTATTAAACAGAAATGTTGAAGGTGCAGTTGGTCAAGAAAATCTTCCATCACATGGTGATTTATATACAAATTTTCAAGTTGCAGCTGATGAAGACAAAGCAGGTATCATACTGTCATTCAGAGATATTTTCTTGTTGTTTATAAATTTCAACATTCTTGTTAAGTAAGATATGAATTGTGTTACAGTGATGGAAGATATCAATGCACAGTCCCCAATTCACGGAGTGACAGTAGCAGCTCAGACCGAGCAGGTCATCGAGGAAGATGACAATGAAGGTGCAGATGCAGAGTATGTGGATCTAGGTGATTCAGAAGGATCAGGAGTTGAGAAGAATGGGGTCACACTAGATGATTTTGAGTTGTTTGACAACTTATCCCAGTTGGTTAAGTTTGGCGAGCCCATACAAGATGAAGCAACACCTATGCATCCGGGGAGAACAAGGCATCCGGAAAAGCATGCCCGATCACCATTTATCCCTCTATATAGTTCTGGGGACAACATCTCGGTTGGACCTAAAATTTTCTACCGCAAGCACCCTTTTACTACTGTTATTGGTGAAAATGTAGATCCAGATGTTTTAGAGAACTTCAACAAGTGGTTATACCACTCTAGTGACAAAGGTTCAAAGAGGTATGAATGCATAATTTGACACTTGCATTTCAGCATTTATCTTTTACATATCTAATTCAATCTACAATTTTTTTTTGACATTTATTTGTTGTCACAGGAGGAAGGCTCCGTTTTCCATAAAGGATAACCAAATTAAGCCTTGGTTAGACCTTGGAGTGAAAAAGGTTGATAAGAAGGAATGGTTCTTTTCCCTGGCTCACCCCGGTCAAGTCCTCAATGACTCAGTAAGTATCAAGGAGTCTATTTCCAAGATATGATTTGTAGATATTTCGCCTTCTGTTTTGTAGTTTAATTGTATTTATGTTATAGATACCTATAATATATGAAGATGACTTGTAGTATAAATTGTAGATATGATGTAGACATAATTCTAGAGGCTGTTTTGTAGTTTAAATTGTAGACTTGTTCTTAGACATCATTGTAGATTTTTCGTAGTTAATTGTAGTTATAATGTAGTTTTATGTGAAGTTGACTTGCTGTTTATATGCCAACTATTTTTGGTTGCAGCACATTAATGTTTTATTGTATTACTTGAGGAAAAGAGCCAAGTATGGCCCCAAAACACGACCAGGTTTACCACAACGGATTGTGGGTTCAAGATCAGGATAGAACAAATTTATGAAAAGTTCATAAATTCACCTCCAGAAAAGAAGTATTTTGTTGTTAAACCCCAAGATGTTGTTACAGAATATATTTTGGGGTATAGACTACTTGCCAATGTTGCATGGGATGAAGTTGACTATGTGATCATGCCCGTCAATATTGTAGAAAAATTCCATTGGGTGTTTGTTGTTTTCGACATTGCAGACAGGCAACTTTATGCGTATGATTCCATGGTCTCTTCACACAACCATCAAGTTGTTGAATCCTGTGTCAAAAAGTTTTCTGTTATTATACCTTTGTATGTCATGCACTGGTTTCTATGGGAAGCGTAAAGACATTAACTTCAAGACTACAAAGGCATACATCGAAAAACCAGTTACCGACCCTCTTAACATTCAGTGGATCGTTGGAGAGATTCCACAGCAAAAAGAAGGGTCACTGTAAAAAATCTATTCTCTCTTTCTATGCATTTAACTCTTTTTTTTATTTCTAATCATTTGGTAAATATTTTTTAAATTTTGTATTCTGCAGCGATTGTGGTGTATTTGTTGCTGCCTTTGGGGAGTATGTTAGCCTTGGAGATTTGTCAATTCCCGCAGAAGACCTTTCTGATATTGACCAACA